AGGAGGGAGGAGGGAGGAGGGAGGAGGGAGGAGGGAGGAGGGAGGAGTGAGCGAGTGAGTGTGAGTGAGAGAGAGCGAGAGAGTGAGACTCCCGGAGGGGGGGAGGGATGCGGCGGATGGGCGGAGAGTGGGAGCCGCGAGGGAGGGCAGGGAGGGAGGGAGAGAAAGCTCACCGATATGAGAGGGAGCAATCGATAGAGTCGTTCTCGTGATTGAGAGCATGTGCGCCAGGAAACGACAGGTGAAGAGGCGCTGACAGATGGATACAGGTTGAAGTTCCATGTCCTCACAGTTTGGAGGAGCATGGTAAGGACGGGGCATATGGCCAGCAGCCGAGCTGAGTGCGACATCGATGCAGTACATGCTTGATTCATGCTGTAAGGTCGAGGAGAGATCGTGAGGAGGTGCAACAGCCCCTGAAGAGGGCAGGCATGTTAGGTGGCTGACAGCTGAAGGCTCTTCGACGTCCCCGTGAAAGTTTGCGCGAGTGATAAGATGGAGGCGATACAGGAGGACGCCATGTACGGGGAGGCCGAGGAGGTGGACGAGGAGGAGCTCGAAGAGTTCGCCAGGCACCTCGGTATCGACCCGAGCACGGAGCACGAGCTCATGTGGATCTGTCGTATGGCGTTGGACGCTCCGGTGCCGGAGGGCTGGAGCGCGCACGAGGACGGCAACGGTCACACGTACTACTTCCATGCTGAGACACAGTCGTCGTCTTGGGAGCATCCTTCAGACGGCTACTTTCGTGGGCTGCTGTCATGGTGCAGGAAGCAGCAGAGTATGGCAAGCACGCTGAGCACTGGGAACCACGAGGCCGTGCGGACTAACCGAGAGCTGAACGCAACTATAGAGAAGCTGAAGCTGAAGTACGAGGAGCTCAAGGCTGCAGCGAGCAAGGTCGGGGCTGAGAACGATGCGCTTGCAGAGAAGGCAGCATGGATGGAGGCGAAGTTGAAGTCGGCAGAAGAGGAGCACGCAGCTGAGATTGCGGGGTTGGAGCAGATGCATGCAAGGGCAAAGGATGAGGCGAACAGGCTGCGAGGGTTTGAAGAGAAGTGCAAGGAGTTGAGCTTCAAGCTGCAAGCTGCCAACGATGAGTTGACGAGAGCAGGTGGCGACAAAATGTACAAGGAGCGGGAAGAAGGGATTGAGCTCGAAAGGCAGTTGTTGGAGGAGAGAGCGAAGAACGACATGTTGGTGCGGGAGAAAGAAAGTTGGGAGGCTCGGGAAACAAGTTTGCAGCAACAGATCGCAAGGCTACATACTTGCAACCTGCAGGACAAGGAGGAGCTGAATAAGTTGAAGATGGTGGTAGAAGAGTTGCATCTTGAAAAGGAGCGCGTCCTACGAAGATCTCAAGAGTCTGAATCCTTGCTTCGGATTGAGCTGCAAGAGGGTAAACGGGCCGTCAAGGCTGGGGAAGAAAGAAGAAAGTTGGATGATGAGAAGATAAATGCGCTTGAACGAGCGTTGGAGGAGACGAGAGGCGAGCTTGTACATGTCAAGCAGGAGTTGAACCTTCAGTTGGTAAGATGTCAAGACCTGGAAGGAATCACCGCAAGCATGCAAGCCGGACAGTCTTTACAGCATGACGAGCGCATGTCAGAAAAGAACGAGATGCTGATCCAACAGATTCACAAGAGCGAACAAGTTGTTGCAGAGCTGAGAGAGAAGATTGCGCAACTTGAGCTGTCGAAACTTACCTTGCAAGAGCAGCTGTCGGATGTAGAGCACGCTGTTCAGAGGGAGAAAGAGAAGTCAGATGTGCTGAAGACGGAGATACTTCAAGTGAAAGACCAACTGGAGCGGTGTGTTGTCATGTGTTGTTTTTACATCTTGCCTTAAGAGTTTGCAGAACGCAATACAAGCTGGACCAGAGGGAGGCTGAGTTTGAATCTCGGTAAGGGCAGAAAACTTGTTTCATCCATCCTGCCATTTTCTTGCATCCCACTTCACGCCCTGACATGCTCTGTGCAGACAATCTACTTTCAACACGCGTGAAGGATCTCTGTTAACAACGATCGCAGAGATGCAAGAAAGACAAACGAAACTCTCAGATTCTCTTCAAGCAGAGTCGTTGAAGTTTGCCAGAAGTGAGAAATTGCTCCAAGAAAATCATCAGGCATTGTCAGACAGCGAGAGAAAGAACAGCTCTTTGAAGGTGAGCCGTTTTCTTGCAACGATTGCGATTGTAACGTCTTGAGATTGCAGGAGAGAATCGCAGAAATCGAGACAATCTTGCATCTGTCCCAGCAAGAATGTGAAGATCTGAAATCCAAACATGTCAGAGCAGCAGCTGTCTTGAGCAACGTTGCAAGGGATGAAACAGGCAGTGTCGACGAATCGGTGAAGAAGCTTGTTGAAGAGTTAGAAAGCAAGAGGAATCACAATTTTGCACTTGAACAAGAGAAAGTCAGGTTGCAAGAGGAGATAAAAAGTCAGGAGGAAGGGAAAATCTCGGCGCTGCAGACCAACCGGAAGTTATCGAGCCAAGTGGAAGATTTGCAGAGAGAGATATCTTCGTTACATACCTCCCTCACGAGTTCCAAAGAGAGCTTGAAACGACTCAAGGAGGAAAGTTCACAAGCAGCGAAAAGATTAGAACGAGATCTGATGGAAAACAGGTGAGCTGAGTGTTGAGAACTCTTGCTACTGATGATGTCTCATCTTTCATATCTGTTGGTCACTTTCTTGTTCTGTTGCCTTTGTGACATTCAAACAGAACGCAACTCGATCGAGTCCAATCGGAGAATTTGCAACATGCAAAGACGATTCAGAGTCTGCAGCAGAAGCTGTCGAGTGCTAACGATGAAATCCACGATGCGCGCGAGAGATTGAACCAACTTCGATCAACTCTTGAAGCTGTCAGGTTGGCAAAAGCAAAATCAGAGGTGAGTCTTTGACCTTGTGCAATAACTTGCTGATGTCGATGGCGGGAGAGAGGAGACGAGGGGAAAGGGGAGAGATGGAAAAGGAAGCGGGGAAAGGAGCAGGAGCAGGAGCAGGAGCAGGAGCAGGAGCAGGAGCAGGAGCAGGAGCAGGAGCAGGAGCAGGAGCAGGAGCATGAACAGGGGAGCAGCAGCAGGAGCAGGAGGAGAGGGCGGAGGCGGTTGTTGATGATGTTGTTCGTTGTTGATCAGAACGATGCTCGCATGGGGGTTGTGGCCTTCAAGCATGAAGTTCGGACGCTGGAGAAGCAGCTGAGGGAGGAGAGAAATTCTATCAGAGAGCTGCGCAAGAAAGACAGAGAGTTGTCTCAGAACGGCAGCTTGCAAGAGAAACAGAATGTTGAGATGCAGGACATCATCGAACAGCTGACAAGGAGCTCGTCGAAGATGGAAGAGGTTGGGAAAATTTCCCCAGTGCACTCGAAGATGTTTCTAACGTGTTGTGCAATCTTTGAAATCTGCAAATATGACATTCCGAAGTCCTTAGTCGACATTACAGTGATTCCCTTGTTTCGCAGGAGCTGAAGTTGCTCAGGGACGAGAAAAGTTTGTTGGACGAGACCAACGGGGTCTTGAGATTAGAATGCAACGCACTTGTAGATAGCAACAACGACCTCAAGGAGAGCATGGTAACCTGAACTTACCTGCTCCCTTCCTGCCTTCGTTCTTCTCCCGCTTCCTCTCTCCGTCCCCTCTTCTTCTGTTCCTCCCCCCCTCCTCTCCTCCTCTCCTCCTCTCCTCCTCTCCTCCTCTCCTCCTCTCCTCCTCTTCTTCCTCCCTCTCGTCCTCCGTCCTGGCTCCTTCCTTCTTTTCTACCTCCCTTCTACCTTTCCAAGTTCAACTGCAAGTTTCATTTCAT